GATCCATTGCGTGGCCGAGGGAAAGAAGACCCAGGATGAATACGAGGCCGATGTTTCTTTATGCAACGTTTCCCGGTGCCAGGGTGCAGTTTGCGACGAAACCGCAACGTTATTTGATTTAGAGGCATCATTTTTTCCAGGCGGCCCTCCCGGTTAACATGCGAGCAAGTTTCCGTTGCCGCACGGAGTCCGGAGAACCAGTCGGGTTCACTCGCCTTCCCATGGGATGCAAATGTGGTCCTGGTGTTTTAAATACCATTACAAGAGTTTTGGCCGGCGATCCTTTATTGGCTTTGCCGATGCAAGCGTCGCTCAAGAAGTTAAAAGTACACGTTTGGATTTATGATATCAGAATAAGTAGTCTACGCGAAAAGGTGGAAGTTTGGGGCACCAAATCGCGCATAACATGCAAAGCCGTGGGGCCACTATTGGGGAGCAACACCTTCAAGCAAAGGAATATGTTTTCATAGAACGCGCTTCAACCACAAGAAAAACACGGTTTCTTTAAGGAAAAAGAGAATAAAGAGGTTGGAAGAAGCACAGCCATTGGAATACACCACAGTTGGAGGCTTGGAAAGTAAGTTTCGCATGCGATGTGCGCAACGGGGGCGCGGGGTGAATCCCTTTTCCCTTACTATTTCTTCTTAAAAATAGTGCGATGGCGTTTGTTTCGTTTAAATCGGGGTTTAATACGGCCATAAGACAAGAGAAATTTACCACCAAATGCGCGGGAAATTTTGCAAAATTGGCCCAACACCCTGCTAACAAACGGGCCAGTTCACCCACCGCGGCGGTTACCATCCACCGCAACGCTTGCAACAGACGCCACCATGTACGGATGGGGGGCGTTGATATTCAGGGATTCGGGGGAAGTTCTGGCCGCAGGCAGTGTGTGGGAGCATTCGCACCTCACATGATATCGGAAGCACGGTTGCGTGTAGTTAATCTCGCATTACGCGATTTAGAACACAACTAACCAGCCCCTTCGATATTCGCATGCGAAGAGCAACGGCGACGATGTACATTATGCAAAAAGGAAACATGCATTCACTGGCTTTAGTGTCGGAAGCCATGCCATAAATAGGTAGTTTTGAGTTCGCAAGGAATACGAGACACTTGGAGTTACTTCGCCTCAGAGGACAATCCGGCGGTTGGCATATAGAGATGACAAACCACAGCAATATGGAAGTGTCTAAAGGGGTAAAACTTGCGATGGGGAGAGCAGGGGGCAGGTCAAAAGGGCTTCTTAGCAATTCCACTTCGTCAGTTCTGGCATTAATCAGAGAACAACTATAGAGAAAAATATAGGATGCACTTATATTTTTCATGTGGAAGGTATGGTTCTTAAAGATAAAAATTAAATTACTCTTTGATTCTTCTTTTTATTTGATTTATTAAGGGGTGGGGGTAAAGCAAGGTTTAAATTATTCTTCCTTTACGATGGGGTTGGGAATAGTTGAAAACTCTTGCTTTCCCTACTTCATCGCTGGGAAAGATGGGTTTGAAAGGTATTCCGCAAGGATCACCCTTCCCCGTTCCCCTCGTGACATGGTGTGGCCATTCAACCGCACCTTTTACTCGGTGGCACGTGGCGCCATGGACAACGAATTCCACCAATGCACGATACAAAACAACAAAAACAAGAGACCTTCCGGTATTAGTCTGCCTCTCATGCGGTCGTCAATGTGTATGAGTAAATCAGGCCTAACTCTACACCGAATGTCACGACACGGGTATCAACCTACTCGTGCGCACACCAGTCAACGTGACGAATGCGAAGAAACAGCTCTGCACCTCTTGAGTTGCCCCGCTCTTCATCCACTGCGAGTTCAATTTGCGATAGTTGATGATGTACCCCTGATGAAACTATGTTTTTCTAAGCGGTTAGCACAGTTCTTTATTGCGGTGGAGCGGAACTTTATTATACCACAGTTTTCACAACCAAGAGAAACCCTGTGCAGCCTACTTCCCATTCCTCTATAAAATCACTGACGAGCTCGAATATGGAAACCTTGATAGAAGAGTAAGCTCAAGGCCCCTGTCACTGACCAAAACAAACAACAAAATAAATAGGAGTTCATTGAGGACAATCCATTATAAAAAACCCAAAAATAATAACAAAAGGAGACTTGAGGACGGGTTTGGGGTAAGAACAGTGAGGATGGAGAGATCTGGTAGGGTTTACTCGATCAGATTTCTCGCAGACTGGTTCTCTCGTTTGGGAACGGGCTACAACCAAAAAGCATATTACAAGAGCTTGAGGATCCTATTAAACGAAGGGATCTTCTTTTTCAGAGCCACTCTTAAGTCGGTAATTAAGATACTCTACGGTGTGCGGCTGATAGCCGTACCATTGGAGTAATATCCATTAAGACAGGAAGAACGAAAATAAAAAACAAATCCATGATAATACGGAGTCCCATGGGTGGGGGGTGGAAAGGGGATATGTTTGATATTACCCTCCTAAATAAAATTATGGAGGAAAGAGAGTGGAAGTACATTTGGAGATGGGGATGATCTGTGTCCATGATCGCTGCAGCGGTAGCGGGAATGTCCCGTCGTTTTCGTGCTCGTGCAAGGAGTGTATTTTCATGAACGTTGTTTGTGACGTTGGAGATGCGAACAACAGTGTATTGCGAGCAGTGCTAATGCAAACGAACTACAAACAAACAATGCCACAGTTCTTGA